CTGAATTTTCTGTCCATTTTTGTACCAGATGAAGGAAGGGCGATCAGGTACACAACTGCTTTGACAGTCAAGCCCATTATTTGATCTGCTCACCTGGAGACCTGGATTTGTGAAGAGGGAACAGGAATGTTATTTTAGACAAAACTGTCAACACACACACATGCAAATAAACACATATATATTATTGTTTTCTAGATGTTGACCATTTGTAAATAATTAACATATGAATGAAAATGTTACCTGTGACAGACAAAGTGACTCCAGGTTCACCAATATAAGCATCGGGATGGTCTGTTATGAACCTGAACTTGTACTCAGCTGAGTCGCTCTCTCTCAGGTCTGTGATTCTCAGAGTGCAGTTGTTCCTAATCTTATCACAGTCATACTGCACACGACCTGAATACTGTGGGTCTGTTGTCAGATCTACAGGATCACGTCCATTCACTTTGGTAAACCAGAATGTTTTCTTAACTGTAGCATTACAGCCATTTGTTCTGGATGGGTATGTGTAGCTGCAGTGTATTTCCACTGTTGATCCTTTTACAGCACAGATCTTAGTAGGACTGTAAGTCACTCCCCAGACATTCTGACCCTGTATCACTGTAACACAGAGCACATCAGGAACCACAATCAGACTCAGAACATCAGGAGACAGACTTTCATTTGTACTGAAGGAGCTTCAGTGTGTGAAACTTTATTTAACTCACATCTGCTCTCATACTATGGAGATAGATTTGTTTCATAATTATGTGTGTGATCAGATCGACAATCTGTGTGTAAATGTGTAATCTGTAAATAGAAAACACCTTCCACAAATACAAAAAAGATTTGTAAACTCACAAAAATATTTTGCAAGTATAAAACGGATCTGCAAATAGACAAACACATTCCACAAATAAAAAACATATCTGTGAATATATTAAATTAATTTGCAAATGAATGAAAAGCATTTGTGAATATCTTCCTAATATTTACAACTTTCGATCAGGAATTTGTGAACAAATTTTATTTATGAATCGAAAAAACATTTGTGGATCTCAGTTCTACACGTGTGGATTTGCTTCTTACACACAAGGAGTTTTCCGCTGGTCCGAACGAAAATGCAATCGTATCACTCGGCCATTTTCGGATAGCACGTGATCACCCAGTCATTTTCACATGTCAAAGTAAGTAATAGTTAGTAGTAATAGTAGTTAATTTAATTTAGAGCACGCAGTCTTTCTATGAGCTGTTTATTTGGTAACACTTATATTGAGGTACTGTAATAAGTGGTAATTAATACTTTATAAGCACAAGTTAACAGTTAATGACCACGTATAAGATGGTATAAGATGCTTATTAACATTAATAAGGCTAGACTAAGTGTTTATTACAGCATAACTGACTGAGTTATTATTGCTTATAGGAGCATTATAAGCACTTAATTGAAACTTTGGTAACAGTTCATAAACCTATACTTAAAACTAATAAGATGTCTATTTACATTAATTATAATTTATAAGGGTTAATTATGGAACAATAACCACATTTTTTATATTACTGGTTTATAAGACACTATAAGACTCTATAAGATGAAATTAATAAGGTGTTTATTAACATTAATGAGACTATAGGAAGTTAATCTAAGTGCCATATTACTGTTAATAAATGCTTAATTATGCACTTACTAATAGTAAATAATGGTCCTTTGCAGCTACTGGACCTAAAGTGGGAACAGTGTCGTATAAAAGTTAACAAATTATTAATATGCACTTATTAACAGCTCATAATGCATCTTTGCAGCTACTGGATCTAAAGTGGGAACAGTGTCGTATAAAGGTTAATAAACTATTAATATGCACTTATTAACAACTCATAATGCATCTTTGCAGCTACTGGAGCTAAAGTGGGAACAGTGTCGTATAAAAGTTAATAAATTATTAATATGCACTTATTAACAGCTCATAATGCATCTTTGCTGCTACTGGATCTAAAGTGGGAACAGTGTCTTATTGTAAGAAAAATGCTCAACTCAGCAAACACTGAAATGAAGAGACTCATGAACCATGGAGAAAAGTTACAGCCAATGGGGTGACTTTAATCGCAGAACGTTAGCATACAACAGTATACTAGTCTACACAACAAATCAGTTGGAAACAACCAAACAGCAGATCACCCTTCAAGTGCTTTTATACTCGGCATTTGCTCGTTCATGTGTGTGTGTGTGTGTGTGTGTTTACGCTTGGGTCGTGTTTTCTGGGAATCCAGAGTTCTCCTAGTTTCCTACTTATTCCTGGAACTGAGGTTTGTGTGTCAATACATTCTATTTTTCTTTGTCTTTCTGGCAAAAACAACTGTTTCTATTGCAAAACTTGGCACATCCGTCCCAGCGGTCAGGTCACCCTTGTTTCCTGTTGAGTTTTACACCAGAGAAGGTGTTTCCGGGAAAAGGTCACATTTCATCCAGGAACTGCTTCAGATGCTGACCTGGGACTATCTGAAATACAGAAGAAAAAAACTTTCACTGTCATGATTGCTAAACATACACCGTAAGATATTAATTCCTCTCTAGGGGGTTTATTTTGTTTACCTGCATGGCTACAAGAGCCAGGGTCATCTTCTGCAGTCCATCTGACGCCATCTGCAATGTCAGCCCATCCCTCTGAAAGAGAAGACTCAGAATTAAACCCATAAACACATTTATTCTAACTTCCCTTGTTTTTATTCCACAGCCTAGTACTGAATTACTCTCACAATGGTTTCACAATAGTTATAATAAAACACTTAGACACTGAGCCTGATACAAACTTCAATTGCTAAAGTGTATGAAATGCTCCTTTAACCTTACTGACGGAAAGGAATGAAGTCAGGCTGTAGCGTTAGCAAATCAGCAGGAGTTAGCATGAACATGACGCAGCCTGTATCCATTAGCCTGCTCAACATAACACACAGCTCATCGATGCTCCTAACACATTCACTCACTCATCCTGCTTCACACAATTTACTGTCATTCTTGTCTCTCATATGCATCTTCACACACATTTCACTCACTTTAACTCACACAGAACGTCATTAGTGACGCACTTGAAGCTATATATAATATAGCGGCACCCTCCACGAGCCGCACACACACACACACACACACACACTCTTAATCGCGGTCAAAGTCAATGTCTCTGAGTGTCACAGTTACCGGAACACTAAGGTTCTGCTAAAACATACTGCTGTTATCTGGGTGTCCCTTATACTCAGCTTACCAGTAGGAAATTTAGAAACATGACTGGCTGCTAGTTCAGGCATGACCTTCATCTCTGTAGCTAAAGTTGCTAGCCTAATTATTACTGACTGAATGAACGGATCCATGTCACTGGTCCAACAGCCCATTAGTTCGACATCCCATTAGTCCGACTGTCTGCGGTGCTGAATGGCTCGCGGCGGGCGTATGGTGCGCCGCGACTGGCTCTGGGTCAGCTGGGAAAGGCTTGAGGCGGAGCAGGCTCATGGCTTTTATGTTTGTCACTTTCTTTTTCATTTTAACCCACACCATGATCTTTTCCTGACCCTAACCAAGTGGTTTTTGTGCCTTAACCTAACCAGACCTTAACCACAGGGCATCATGATGATTTCAGAACGGACTTCAGAACAATGGGATGTCGAACCAATGGGCAGTTCCCGAATGAACCGAGTACACCTCTTCTGATTAACTGTAACGTTACCATCATTATCATAAACATCAAAATTTAGAACACACAGCCCCTTTTTTTTTTTAACTTTGTAAGGCCATCATGTACATGATTGGCTGAGTTGCTAGTGTTAGCTATCGCAAAGAACTAGAACTAGCTATAAATCAATAAGCTAACGTTAGCCTATAGCCTACTTTAACAAACTAACTTACCACAGGGGCAGAAACAGATGAAACATCGTCTTCACAGTCCCGAAGCCAAGTGTCGCATCCTACTCCAACTGAAGCGGCACTGGAGGAGCTTGCATCAGTTGTTTCAACCATCTCAGTATTGCTAGGTTCTGTGCTCTGATGTGGAGTGTCAAGCACAGCTGGCGAGTGGCACCCAGCGTGACGTCATGCAGCGAGTTGAGCTCCATATGTGTGCATGCGCGCACGTGTGGAACCAGATCAGGTGCAGCAAAAGCCACTGTATTTTTGCTGTTCATAAGTTTTTATTGAAATTGTTCAAGCGACAAAAGCGACGTTCAGATACCCATACGTAACGACGTTGTAAATAACGATTTTTTATTTTGATATTGCTTTAACTTTTTTTTTTTTTTTTTTTTTTTGCTGTCCTGGAATTGTCCCAGACACATCATCTTTGTGTCCCAGTACCAATTGGGACGCAGTTAGTTTCGAGCCCTGAGAGCATGTTAATAATTTATTAACCTTTATACCACTTCAGATCCAGTACCTGCAAAGGATCATTATTAACTATTAATAACACCTTATTAATTTAATCTGATAGGGTCTTATAGTGTCTTATAAACCAGTAATAAATGTGGTTATTGTTCTATAATTAACCCTTATAAATCATAATTAATATAAATAGACACCTTATTAATTAATATTTAGGATAGCTTTATAAACTGTTATCAAGTTTCTATTAAGTGCTTATAATGCTCCTATATGCAATAATAACTGTGTTAATTATGCTATAATTAACAATTATATAGTCTTATTAATGGCAATAAACGTCTTATTCTGTCTTGTACGTGTTCATTAACTGGTTAATTGGTGCTTATTAAGCATTAATTAATGCTTATTACAGTACCTTAATATAAAGTGTTACCAGATTAATTTATAGTTCCAACTTGTTTTTGGTTTTGGCTGGGGGCATGTAAACAAGCTTTACAAAATGTTACAGACTAAACTTTGACTGTTTTACTGACATTTCAAACTGAAGACTTATTCTGCATCACATGTTTCTGATATGTTTACTTCTTTTTCAGGACTTTTTAATGTCTGTCCCTTTTTATGGTTATTTCAGGTTATGCCAAAGTGAACAGAGGTGTGGAGAAATGTGCAAATCATTCAGTTTTACATGATTATTTATAATGCAGAGAAACACAGTCAAAGATGAAGACGTGATCTCTGCAGTTAATCTCTAAGTGCACTGAGGCAGGACATCATACACACAGTGCAGTGAAGGAACTGAAATTCACTGAACCTGTGAACTTGAACACAGCGTTTACAGAACAGATAGCTGAAGATAAACTGGTAGACGAGTGTGGTACATCAAAAAAAAAATCTGCCCTGCTCAGTTGCTTTTCTTTGTGTGGTCAGGCTGCAGCAGAGTGTGAATGGAAACTGTAGAGACATGCAGAACACTGAGGTGTGGGCAAGTAGTGTGACATGTAGATCACAACTTCTTCCACAGAGAGATAGAGCCACAACTACTGATGTTTATTTAAAAAAAATAAAATTAAAAAAAAAGCCGCCCAGATTAACCTTGGCTGATGCACATGTTTGTTTTAAAGGTGGAAATTTAAATCATAGCTGTATATCTGTATCAGATATTTTCGACTGGTAATTTCTTCCAAAAGTCGACACAAACAGACAGAGTTCAGATTAATCAGAATCAAAATATAGTAAACTTTTATTTCATGGATATGATTTAAATTTCCTCTTCTCAAACAAATAAATCTGAATCTAAGAAACAGTATTTACTGAAGCACTTCCCTCATCTCATTGTTAGCTTCTTCCACAACAGGCAAAATTCTCTTTTCAAGGTTTAGTTCCAGGCAGCAGTAACGCAAAGTTGCTGCTGCTGTTGCACTAGAATTGGTGTCAGCAACCTTATGAGGCTTGCAGTGGCCACAAATAACCTCTGTCACTATCATTGTTAACACAGCCACACATTTATTTTATTCAATTTAATTTAATTTAATTTAATTTAATTTATTATAATATATTTTAATTTCATTTTATTTCATTTCATTATATTTTATTTTATTCCATTTNGTACTTTGTATATTGTTGTTGTGTATTGTGATTTTTTTTTTTTTTTTTTTCCCCTGTGTGCCAATAGTTTGCAAGTTGTGCACTTTTACCTGGGTGGCTCTTGTAGTCACTCTGCTAAGGTTCACCCTTCTCTGCCTGTGATTAGTACTTGTTTCCTTCTTTGCAGAATGAGGGTGGAAGGTGGGCTTGGTGGATAATGGCAGGCCCGCAAACCTAAAGTAAAGGTTTGAGCATCCATTTAAAGTTGTGTCTGTGGATATCTGACTGATTTAAGTCACTATTTACTTGTGTTTGCAATTAGATGTTTTACTATATTCACGAGACGCTAACTGTCTTAATCTCTATCAACAGACTCTGCCTATGTGTGCATGCTCATATTCACACATACGGGCAATTTAGAGTCACCAATCAACCTAACCTGCATGTCTTTGGACTGTGGGAGGAAGCTGGAGTACCTGGAGAAAACCCACGCTGACATAGGGAGAACACGCAAACCACCCCACCCCAGGGATCGAATCAGGAACCCTCTTGCTGTGAGGCAACAATGCTAACCACTGCACCACTGTGCCCAGAGGCTTTTTTGTCATCAAACAATGGCAAGTGGCTTCCAAGACTGACTTTGTTTTGGTACTGGGCAGGCATTGTAAAGTTCATTTTAAGGGCTTTTCCACGGAAAGCTGATGAATGCAGTGAGAGTGAACTAAAACTGTTTTGGGCAAACTAAAACAGGCTAAAACACCGTATAGCTGAGGGAAGCTCAGGATGCTCTTGTGATCATTTACTGTGACTTCATGACTACAAGCAACTTCTTTCACACCACCAAGACATTTCACCCATTGTTAATATAAAGATAGCCATTAGTTTTCTGTATCCACCTTGCAATTCCTGGTAAGTACTTTTCTTCAGCATGAAAGACATGATATCATCTCTTGTTGTATTTCCTGTATTAATTATGCTACGGGAGAGCGAACAGCCTCTAAGTTTGCTCCACTGCAAACAAACGCTGGCGAAAGTTAGACTCGACGGCAAAACAAGATGTTGCTGGTGTTACAAACAGCTCTGTGTTGGTCGTCCTGTAAGAACTTATTTAAATAAAGAGAAGTGAATGTCTGGTGTTAAGGGATGGCACCAAATTGCTAACTGCCTTACAAAATAAATGTAGATGTACAGTACCTTGTACAGAGAGAAGGAAGACAATAAATCCACTCGCTGCTGCTGCTAAACTCATGGCTGCTCCTCACGTCTCTGTATGTAACATCAGTTCACATACATGATAAATACTGTGTGTCAGTCAGTTACGATAAACATTTCTATATTCTAAAAATAACAATGTGGTCTGTGAAGACAGTGTGTGTCTTCTGTGGTTGGAAAAGTTGTGTTAAATAGATATCAAGCTGTTAAAAAAACAGGCCTGGCTTCCTTCCGCTTCACATCATTAATATGCATGAGCAGAGAAAAGATTGTAAATCCCCAACTGAAATGATAGTGAGAGAGCCATTACTGACCGACCAACTAACAGACTTGACATCACTACATCTAGTGCACTAGCAGAGGTCAAAACAAAGCACACTATGGAAAGTATTTTGGGGTACACTGTGTGTACTGGGTACACGCCGTGCATTTCCAGTGTTGGGTGTCACAGTTCATTTATCCAGGGTGGCTGCCTCGCTGACTTCTCCCGGAACCTGAAACTGTCCCATACTCTCTGTGACTTTGTGCAGTCAGTTTTGCTATAACTTAATATACTGCTAGTCACACTGAAGGTTTAAAAAATTCAAAAATGCCCTGCAATCTATTGTACTTAGAACTTTGAAATAAAAAGGACCTCTAGGGAAAAGCTCAATGAATGAAAATACTGGCAAGATCCACCAAGCCCGATTTCACTGACATTAACAAACCTGACATCACAACAACGTGGCAGTGACCAAGCAGAACCACCTTTTTAACAATTTTTACGTTTAGTGTTTTATATAGAGTTTGT